AAGCCTGCAGTCTGCAGCCAAGGTATTTTAATGACTTAACATGGAACCCAGAAGCAATGTCCTTAACTGGTTTGTTTGGTTCATAGTCCCTTTGAGAAGCCGATGAAGTTCTCTCTCTCCCCAGCGTTTCCACATAACATCTCATCTACGGTGTCAAAGACATTCATTCACAGGCCCCCTGAAATCTAGCATAAACTTCGCAGTTACTCTAGGCTAAATAACAGAAAAGTAATATTCTCACCATACTGGATATCAGTGAAAACATCTAGAAATGAATAACTATAAAGCTGCCTTAAAGAAAGTTTTCGTGAATTTTTTATCAATATACTAGAATTGTCATTGATTACATACTTATGTATCAGCATAATCTTCAAAAATATTCCACTGAAAAGTGAGTTAGCAATGAAGAAGACAGAGGTTCCCTAGGAAAAGACCTTTTCAGTTGTGCTTACCGATATAGGTGTATCTTGTGTCAATACTTTCATAACGGTTGTGATTAAGGAAAGTTGTGAACTGGATTTGTGGTCAGGGGAGCTTAAACACAGACGGACTGAAAAAAATAAATTACTGGTTTGATCAGCTTACAGTTTAAGGTACAAATTTTAGGTACTTTACAATTGTATATCACTGAATTAAAAATCAATTTCTATGAATGCTATTTTTAGGGGAAAATAAAGAATATTTTTATTAACATTTTTTTCTTCCTCTGGTGTAAACAACTTGATGGTTGGCTCCCCCTGCTGGGGTGGATGAGAAATGCAGTGGTAAAGACAATTAGTAACTGGTTTCAAACTGAGATAGAATGGGACTTCAGGAAGTTGACAGAAACACAGAAATACGTATGAGTTTATTTTGATGCAAAAATTATAACCATGTGTGTTTTTTTTCATAATGCACATTTTTCATTAACTTTTTGAAGATTCCTTGTGCTTGTGAGCATAAGATTAAGTTCTTGATTGGATACATTTGTGTCTCAAATTGCTACACAGGCTTTCAAAATGACACCTATCATGTACACATATTGTGTAGAAAAACATAATAGTTGATGTATAAAAATATAATAGACGGTGGGACCAGCAGTTAGCATAATGGCTATGTCACTGGACTCCCATGTATTCGACCGTGATTTGAGTCTCAGACCTGGTGGCTTAAACTCACGCCGGGCGCATGTGCGTGAGTGCCCAAGATCCCAAGAGGAGAATGGAAGAGAAGGGATTGCGGTGTGGCCATCCCCACTGGGGGGTGATCTCTCATTTTCTGTCTGTCTCTGTCTTTCTGACGAGCGCACGTGCCCTATAGCAAAAACCTCTCAAAAAAACATATAAGTTCTCTAAATGATTTCCCTTCTCAGAGTTTTCTTAGATGTTATCTCCCTTCCTCAGAAATAATCACCAATTTGGTACATTCTGACAGATATTTTTCCTATGTCGTCTATTAAATATTTGTATATTGTGTCTGTGGGCCTACATATATACATATACACATGTACACAATTGAAATAATACTATATGTGTGGTTTATTGGTTTGCTTTTTTCCCTTAATATTAGGTCATTGGAAAAGTCATGATGCATTTTTTGCATACAGGGCCAGCAGGTAGAGTGGTGGTTGAGGCACTGGACTCCCACATGGTTGACCACGGTTTGCATCCTGGACCTGGTGGCTTGCTTTTTCAGTTTCCCTTTATTTCTCTGTGGTAAATAATAATAATAATAAATAATAAGTAAAATAAATACTTTTTTTAAAAAAAGAAAAACACACCTGAGGACCTTTTTTGACGACCCAATATTTTTATTATCTTGAGTAGATATTGCTCTACTTCCTATTTCTTCACTGCTACGTATCCTAACCCTCATGATCCTCTCTTTTAGGAAAATACTCAACAACATGAAGAAATAAACAAGGGTAATAAAAGCATGTCCCAATTTTTAAGAGAAAAGCTAAATAATGAAATAACTGCAAACAAAATACAGTCAAAGGATAGCAACCAGGTCCAAGAAACTGGTGATGATGATGATGATGATGATGCAGACGAAGAAGATGAAGATGAAGATGAGGAAGATGAAGATGATGAAGGAGAAGATGATGGTGAAAATGATGGAGACACTGAAAAAGAAGAGGAAAATGAAGCAAAGGAGCAAATCAGGAATTGCAAGAGCACCTGTCAACAGATAACTAATAAAGCACTTGAAGAAGAGAGAGACAGACCAGAGGCACAAGAAGCAAGTGTGAAAAAAATATCAAAATTAGACCCTAAGAAGTTAGCTCTAGATACCAGTTTTCTGAAGGTTAGTGCAAGGCCTTCAGGAAACCAGACAGACCTGGACGGGAGCTTGCGGCGAGTTAGACAGAATGACCCCGACATGAAGGAGCTCAACTTGAACAACATTGAAAACATCCCCAAAGAGATGTTACTGGACTTTGTCAACGCCATGAAGAAAAACAAGCACATCAAAACTTTCAGTTTAGCCAACGTGGGTGCGGATGAGAACGTAGCGTTCGCCTTGGCTAACATGTTGCGTGAAAATAGGAGCATTACCACTCTCAACATCGAGTCCAATTTCATCACAGGCAAAGGAATTGTGGCCATCATGAGGTGTCTCCAGTTCAACGAGACACTGACTGAACTTCGGTTTCACAACCAGAGGCACATGCTAGGCCACCATGCTGAAATGGAAATCTCCAGGCTTCTAAAGGCAAACAACACTCTACTGAAGATGGGCTACCATTTTGAGCTTCCGGGTCCCAGAATGGTGGTAACTAATCTGCTCACCAGGAATCAGGATAAGCAAAGGCAGAAAAGACAAGAAGAACAAAAACAACAGCAACTCAAAGAGCAGAGGAAGTTGATCGCCATGTTGGAGAATGGGTTGGGGCTGCCTCCTGGAATGTGGGAGATGCTGGGAGGACCAATGCCGGATTCCAGAATGCAGGAGTTCCTCCAGCCTTCTCCTCCTCGACCTCCCAACTCCCAAGCAGTCCCCTTCAGTCGACGAAACGAGATGATGAAAAAGCCATCGCAGCCTCCCCAGTACAAGACAGACCCTGACTCTTTCCGGGTGGTGAAACTGAAGAGAATCCAGCGCAAATCTCGGATGCCGGAAGCCAGAGAACCGCCTGAGAAAACCAACCTCAAAGATGTGATCAAAACACTCAAACCGGTGCCGAGAAATAGGCCGCCCCCGTTGGTGGAAATCACTCCCAGAGATCAGCTCTTGAATGACATTCGTCACAGCAATGTCGCCTATCTTAAACCTGTAAGTAGAAGGAGGGAGAAGTGGTGAATAAGCACCACCATAAATGCATCCCAGCTCTCTCCCCTGTTTCCTTTAACACAAGGACATTCTCATAGTTGCGACTAACTGGGGGGAGCCCAGGAGCACTAACAGTAGATCTTAATGACTGATGATCCTCGAAGACATGCCGTGACTTTTATACTGATAATATAATATTCACAGCTAACATTTATTGAGCCGCTTTCTACTTAACTGTAGGACAGAGTCATCATACAAATAAACTCATAAATCATCTTAATAACCCTATAAGATAGATACGGTTATTCTCCTCAAAAAATAGGAGACTAGGCTTAGAGTGATTTATAACAGGTCTCAGAGATACAGATAAGAAGTGGCGGTGCTGATATGAAGTTTTACTTCACCCCACTATTTTGAACCCTCCAAGTACCGTAACTACACAGAGGTGACAATCAGAGCTCTCCAGGAACCTGCTGTGAGAAATAGAAATGAGGCTAGTAGAGAAGAGGGCAGTTGTTTGTAGATAGCTGACTGCTTCCAAAATGCTATAAAATCCTTAGTTCTTTTTTAGCAAATGAAGAGAGACTTCCTACAATTGCATTTACACATTTCCCTTGTAAGGCAGACAGGCAGGCATATGACAAGTTTCAGGCTAGCATCCCCATATTAACAAATTTTTTAAATATTTTGTTATTTCAGTTCCAATGCAAAGGGAATTTTTTAAAAAGTCTGTGGAAAGTGAAATTAAAGTGCAAGTTTATTTTGGTGCAGATAGTTTTTGAAATCCATACATAGTTTTTTTTGTAATATAAGTTTTCCACACACTTTTTGAAGAGCCTTATTTATTGTGTTTCACTCCTACTGAAAAGTGGAAAAAAGAACAAAGTAAAAACCCTGTATTCCTTGCAGCTTGGCTTGTGAACATTTACATGGGTTAGTCATTATTATGATGGCATTTGTGGGCGTTGAAAGAGATGTGTCCAATGAGCATGGGGATTGATAACTAAACGTATTATTGTAAAATCTTGTGTGTAATTTAGCCAAGAGATTACGTTGACCAAACGGTCAATATATTACCATAGATACTCACAGGTTTTCAAGACATGTTAAACAAATTTCCATGAAAGTAGTTCCTTTTTCTGCTCCAAAGACTTCATATTCAAAAATAAGGTAATTGTTACTTATCCACATCTATGCGTGAGAAGGGGCTTATTAGTGGAAAAATAAAATTAAATTATGAGTCTATTTTGGTAAAAGTGTTTGAAATTCATGTAATGCATTCCCATAGACTTTTCAAAGATCCTACACAGGTATGTCTCTTATTCTCCTCTCCTAGTAATGCAGAATTACCAACCTACCAAAGCTTTCATCTGAGATTTTGAGGGACTCTGATCTTCCTGGAGCTGAGGCCAAGATGAGAACCCTAGCGGTGACATGAGGTCAGGCAGGGGATCTTTATCTGACCTTGGCCACAGCATCAAGACATTCTGCACCCTCTCTTCCACAGGCAGCCAGACCTCCCCTGGGAGTGAATCGGGTGTTTGAGAGAAATCAGCACTATCACTTCTTCTGTAAACATTCATTGGCAATGAATATCTAAGTTGCCTGGGTAGTCTGAAAACAACAGCTCAAAAAGAATGACAAGTCATTGAAGATCTATATTCAAGATGGCATGTGAATTTAGAGTAAAAGAGAGAAAGAAGTTCAAACGCTCATCTGAACTAATTTGCTGAGGGAATGTTCTCTTGAGCAAGACACTTCCCAAGTGTGTTCCATTCTATCCATAGATGCAACAAATATCTATGTCAGGTACTGCGAGAAGTTGGGAGAATAAAACTGGTACAGTCTCACTCTCATGGAGACGACAGTGTAGGTTTTATGATTTTCGGCATCAAGATATTCTGCCTTTTACTCAGTTGAGTATACTTCAGCTTTGAGTCGAGATCCTAGAGCCAAAGATATTAAAATAAACTCAGGATGATAATTGTAAGAATGTAATTTCCTACTAAACACTGCATTTTTCATATTTTAATCCATTCTAAAATGTCATCAGTCTTAAGTATTTCTTTTAGAGGTTTTTGCTATAGGGTGCATGCGCTCTCCAGACAGACAGAGAGAGACAGAGAGACAGAAAGCAAGAAACCACCCCCCAGGGGGGATGACCATGCTATAATCCCTTCTCCTCCATTCTCCTCTCGGGATCTTGGGCACGCCCGCACCCGTGTCCAGCGTAAGTTTAAGCCACTGAGTCCGGAACTCAAACCATGGTCGACTACGTGGGAGTCCAGCAACATAGCCATTACGCTAACTGCTGGTCCTCAGTCTTATGTATGTTTTGATTTTATTTTTAATAAACTAAGAAAGAAAAACATGCTGCAAAGTAAACTCTAACAAGCTTTTTGAATGACAGTCTTGCCTCTCAGCTTGTGCTTTGAAATGGCTCCCATCTATCCCGAGGAACTGGCAATTTCTCCTGCCTTCAGTTGCCTGGCTTGGCATGCGACACACGTCTTTTTGCATGTATCTCACAGAATGTCACACAATGTCATCTATTTGGTCTCTGTAAAGTGCTCTGCAAGAACAGTGCGAAAACGCGTAGTGATCCTGAGGAAAGTACTTCACGCGTATCAATTTGCTTCCTGCTGCTTTGTTTCTGCGCCTTTCAGCAAACGCAGTACATTTCTGCCTTGAAGCCGCATCGTAGTGTAATCTTCTAGAAGACATTTAAAATTTTTTATGTTTCTATTTTAAAATCACTTTAGGGAACCAGCAGTTAGCGTAATGGCTATGTTGCTGGACTCCCACGTAGTCGACCGCGGTTCGTGTCCCAGACCCGGTGACTTTAAACTTAACGCCAGGCACGTGTGCATGCGTGCCCAAGATCCCGAGAGGAGAATGGAGGAGAAGGGATTGTGGCGTGACCATCCCCCCTGGGGGGTGATTTCTCGCTTTCTGTCTCTATGTCTCTCTCTGTCTGTCTGGCGAGCGCATGCGCCCTATAGCGAAAACCTCTCCAAAAAAAAAAAAAATCACTTTAGACTTCTAGAAGCACAAAAGTAATATAAACAAGTCTCACATCTCCATCACATTTTACATCATTTGCTGTATCATTCTTTAATGTATATGCATTTTTTAAAGAAGTATTTACTTATTTATTATCATTATTTTTCAATTTGACCAAAGAGAGACACACATAAAGAGAGAGCAAAAGTGAGAAAGCAAGCCTTCAAGTCCAGGACTCAAACTGTGGTCGGCCATGTGGGAGTCCAGCTCCTTTAACCACCACGCCACCTGCTGGCCTCAATGTATATGTATTTTAAAATTTGCTAGAGGGGTGTGCCCTCTTGGAGTAAGACAGATACACAAAGAGGGAAAGTGAGAAAGCACCCCCCATGGGGAATGGCTGGGATCCCTTCTCCATCTCTCCTTCCTTTCGGGATTTTGGACACGCATGCATACATGCACATGTGCCCAGCATATTTCTCAAGCTGCTGGGTCTGGCACTCAAACTCTGAAGTCAGTCATGTGGGAACCAGCAGCCTTAACCACCAGACCACGGGCTGCCCTGTTTAACATGTTTTACATGGTAATCCGTCTGCATGTGTGTGATGCCAACATGGCTAATCACTCTGTAGAGGTAATAAAACGTGAATAACTATAAGGTGTTTATACACGAGCTTCCAGTCAGCTATCACAAAACATCGCCAATTTTAAGATGCATTCTGATTTCAGAACTGCCAAACAGCACACAATGTGCATCTTCCACTCATAGAAATACTGTAACTACCATGAGGGGTGATATCACAAAATTCCACCATGAAGGGACATTTTTAGCCAATCAAGTGAAACACGACAGGCTCACTTGATAGGGATGAAATGAGAAGTTTTTTAATTTGGGCAAAGATGTCCACCAACCCCTAGATTTTCAAGAATGAGAATAAATTTTAAAATCTTGTGATTTTATTATTGGTATTTCTAACTAGAATATTGTCCAAAAACATATGAATGATTTGTACTTAACAAAAGTTATCTCTTTTGCTTTTTTTAAATTTTGTGAGAGGGTGCGTGTTCTCACTGAAAGAGAGAGTGAGATGAAAAGCAAGAAAGGAACCCCCATGGGGAATGGTCACACCACAGTCCTTTCTCCTCCATTTCTCCCTCCTTTGGAGATTTTAGACATGCCCGCATATGCTGCTGGCGTGTTTCTCAGCTGCTGGGTCTAGGACTCAGCACATAGTCTGCCATGTGGGATCCAGCCACCTTAAGCACTGTGCCACAAACTGGCCCTGGAAAACTTTAATAATACTATTTTCCTCTCAGAGACTTGGAAATAATCTTTTTATATTTTCAGAACACATCCCAATAATCAGTTTGTATTTTAAGAGTTTTGATGTTCATTTTTATGCTTATTCTCTCCCCACCCATGTTTCCAGCCTAGGATTCCTGAAATGAAGTTGCTGAAAATGAATATAGAAAAATTTTTATACTTGCTTAGCTCAAATGCTACCTCCTCCAAGAACTACTCACTCAATTCAATTTTAAAGAAATTTACTTTGGGGACCAGCAGGTGGCATGGTGGTTCAGGTGCTGGACTCCAACATGGTGGACTGTGGTTTGAGTCCCCGACCTGGTGACTTGCTTTCTCTCTTTCTCTCTCTCTCGTTCAGGGGCCCCATAGCAAATGTAAAAAAATGATAATAAATAAAATATTTTTTTTAAAAAAAAGAAAGACATTTACTCTGAACAAATAGACCAAGCTGGATCAGCAGACCTGCTGTATTGGCTTAGGTATTTTTGTTTAAGCTCTTAAATGTCACATCGTAATTCCAGATATCTGGTACCACTTGATACACTGGATCTGGCCATGGCAGGCTTGCAGCTGCCTAGCACAAGTCAATGTTTCTGTGTTTTGACTTCTCCTTGAAACCAGAAAGGGAGGCCCCTCCAGTTTCCTCTCTTGCCCTCTTGCCTTATCCTTGGCGTGCTTTGCTTATTTGTTAGGTTTCCCGAAAAGACATAATGTGTTTTTCTATGAAAAAAGGCATTGTGACTTTTTAAACGACCCAGTGTATTACTTACTTGGCTCCTGTAGAGTTTTTTAGTTTGCCCTTGCCTTTAGTTATGTTTTGTAAGTCTTTGTCATGACTAAGGAACTGAATGTATTAGATAATGACTAATCTGTTTCCCTGTGAGTTACTAACTAAGTGAATATGGTACCAGCAGCATCAAGCAAAGACATCAGGTTTTTACACACTTTTCCTGCCCTGAAAAATGTATGGTTTTGTTTCATCTTCAGTAGTTTTGTGGTCCACTCACTGCCTACCATCGAGATGAGTACTTGTACTTTTCACTGAGATAAAATACCATTGCCGGGGCCAGCAGGTGACGTGGTGATTAAGGGTGCTGGATTCCCACATGGCTGATCATGGTTCAAGTCCTACATCTGACAGCTTGCTTTCTTGCTTTCTCTTGTTCTTTCCCTCTCTGGTCAAATTAAAATAAGTAAATAAATAAATGAAGTTAAATAATTAAGAAAAAATACCATTGATGGTAACTGTTCAATTCCCTGAGACCAGCTGCCAACTGCATTTACCTCAGATTCAGCTTCTGTGCCAGTCACACAAACGGATAAAATTATAAACCTGTTTTCTTAAGAGTATTCATTTTCTTTTTCCATGAGAGAAAGAGACAAAGACAAAGAAGTGTCAGTTGCTGGGATGGTAATTGGGGTGACTGGATCCCACATGGCCGACTGTGTGGTTTGAGTCCTGGACCCACTGGCTTGAAAAGCAGGCCAGGCACATGTCCACACACGCCCAAAAATTCTCAAAGGAGGGAGAAATACTGTGTGATTGCAGCATGACTATCCCTCATGGGGGAAGTGTTTTCTTTCTCTCTCTCTCTCTCTCTCTCTCTGTCTCCAGTGAGTACACCCATCCTCTGGCAAATTAGAAAAGAAAAAAAGAGAGAGAGAGAGAAACAGAGACAAAGCCCATTACAGCATTTTATGCCATGATCCATCCCAAGTCTCACACAGCCCCGATCACAGCTACTTGTACTCTATGTAAAATGTTTTCCTTCCTCATTCACCCTTGTAAGGGTCCTGTTGTTGTCGTCATCTGATAGCTGACAAAACTGACGCTAACACAACACGTCAGGTAAATGATGATGCCGGGCTTTGAACCCTGCCTCGTGTTTCTATATCATGCCTCACCAGGTGCTCAAAGTCCTTAGAACAGCCCTAGCATAAGTAAATGCCCAAATGAATGCTTGTGGTGGTAGTCGTTTTTATCAGGATTTGGGGGGCTCTCCTGCCAGAATTTCTAATCCATTCTGTAACCCACGCATACACCCAGGGGACAAAGACAGAGAGAAAGGGAAAGTGAGAAATCACTCCCCAGGGGAGATGGCTTCACCGCAGTCCTTTCTCTCTTGGGATTCTGGGCACACATGCTCACACACCCAGCATGTTTTTCAGATCACCAGGTCTGAAAAGCAAACTTCAGTGTCAGCCATGTGGGATCCAGCTCCTTGCCACCACACCACCTGCTGGCCCGCCATTCTGTTTATTTTGAGGCTTGTAAAGTGTGTAACTTTTGCTGTAAGCTCTTGAATGTCCAGGATTAATTTTTCTCCCTTTCTTCAAATACTTGAATCACAGGTACAACTGCCAAAAGAGCTGGCATAAGTGATGGCAGAATCGTCTGGAAGAACAAGAAATGGAAACGGTGACTCCTGGATTAGAGTTGGGGACTGTTTCCGAAGCGGCACTTGTGGATTCGGATGGCAGAACAGGGAACCACACCAACGACTGACGGGGGTATTTGTAAAAGGAGAATGCTTGGGCCGTGGCAAAGTAGGGACTGAAGAGGAAGGGGACGCTATTGATATGGAGAGGGACATCTACTTCCTACCAATCTGAGTGACTTAGGTGAAATTCAAAGTCAAGCTTTCATGAGCAGAAATTTAAAAAAAAAATAATTTGGGGCAAACATTTGTTTTATGATCGCTTTCTTCTGGTAAGTAACAATAAATATGACAGAAGTGTTCATTATTTCCATTTTTCTCCTTCCATTTCCTCTCCTGTAATTCATCACTATACATTTTTAAAAAGAATTATTTAATTTTATTATTATTTTAAATCTGCTATGGGGCACATGCACTCAGCAGAGAGAGACAGAGACAGAGAAAGAAAATGAGAAAGCAAGCCACCAGATCTGGGACTCAAACCACCGTCAGCCGTGTAGGAGTCCAACACCTTTACCACCATGCCACCAGCTGGCCCCAACACAATACATTTTTTAAAATTTTCTTTTATTGCCAGAGAGGATACGTGCTAGCAAGAGAGACAGAAAGAAAGAGAGAGAGAGAGAGAGAGAAAATACACCCTAATGGGGCAGTCACGTCACAATCCCTTTTCCATTTCTCCATCCATCAGGATGAAGACCCAGCATGGTTTTCAAGCATTTGGGGCTGGGATTCCAACCACAGTTGGCCATGTGGCTTCCTTAGCCAGTAGGCGACAAGGCAGCCCTATCACATAGTATCTTAAAGGGAATAAACCATGTTTCACCCGATGGAAATGTGAAAGGTGAGTTGAGCTTCTGGCCCTTCTGATGCTTTGAAAGGGAAGGATTGTTAATTAGCTCTTTTCTGGAGACTTGGGATATTTCCAATTTCCAACTTGGTTTTCTCCACCTCCCATGGTGTTTAGGGTAGTCTTCTGTGAGGAACAGATCGCTTAAGCCACTGGACATGGAGGAAACCAAGTGTCAGAAAAAATAGTGGGAAAAGTAAAAACAAGCATGTATGAGAAAACTTCAAAAAGTTACTGGAAAAACAAAGTACAAGTTGATTTTTGTGTGGAAAGTTTTCTTTTTTACTATAAAGAATTATTTAATTTTTCATTCATTTATTTTAATTTGACCAGAGAGAGAGACACACATACAGAGAGGGAAAGTCAGAAAGCAAGCCACCAGCTCTGGGACTTGAACAGTGATCAGCCTTTTGGAAGTGTCCAGCACCTTAAACACCATGGCACTTGCTGGCCCCATTGTGAAAAGTCTTTAAAAATACATCCACAGTTTTTTTGTTGTGTGCTTTTTAGTTATTTATTTATTTTTACCAGAGGGCTCATGCACTCAGAGAAAGAGAGAAAACCCCCCTAATGGACCTACCATCCCTTCTCCTCCACTTCTCCATCCTGTCAGGACTTTGGGCATGCACACTGATGTTGTGTGTGTGTGTGTGTGTTTTCAAGCCACCAGGGCCAGCACTTGAACCGCAGTCAGCCCCCTGGGGTCTGACTCCCTGAACCACTAAATCATTGAGCCAGCCTATTACATGCATTTTCTATTATCAAAAGCCCCTCAGACATAAAACTAATTAGCAGTGAGTTTACATGTAGGGACAATGGGGAACAGCTTAATGCCTTTGTGGGATTTTTTTTTTTTTTTTTTGGAGAGGTTTTTGCTATAGGGCCATGCGCTTGCCAGAAAGACAGAGAGCAAGAAATCACCCCATCAGGAGGGATGGCCATGCCGCAATCCCTTCTCCTCCATTCTCCTCTCGGGATCTTGGGCATGCACGCACATGAGCCCAGCATGAGTTTAAGCCACCGGGTCCGGGACTCAGAGTGCGGTCGACTACGTGGGAGTCCAGTGAGTAGCCATTATGCCAAGTGCTAGTTCCCGAGAAAAACATTTTTTTTTTTTGATAAATGTAGGTATTGACAGGCTTTTGGGTTGTGTATGTGTGTGCGTTAACTAGTCTACGAGTCTGATTTGATCTTGCCGCTCTCCTCAAAAATCGTCTAAAGGAGACTTGCTTACAGGATTACTTTCAAACTCATTATCCTATCTTTCAAGGCCCTTGGTTGCCTGGCCCCAGTTTACTAATCCACTCTTATCTCCCACAAATCCTTCGTATGGTAGCCCCCACTTATCCATGACGTCCAAGTCTGTGGTTTCAGTTACCCATGGTCAACTGAAGTCTGAAAATATTAAATAGAAAGTTCCAGAAACAAGTAGTTCATAAGTTTTACATTACACACTATTCTGAGCCATGGGATAGAATCTTGCATCATCCTACCTGTCCGCCCTGGATCACAGGGGTGAACACAGTACAATAAGATAGTTTGAGTGAGAGAGATTGTAATATTTTATTATACTACATTGTTAAAATGTTTCTATTTTTAATTAGTTTTTGTTAATCCATCATTGTGCCTGATTTATAAATTAAGGTATTTTTATAGATATGTATAGAATAGAAAAAAATCAGTATATATAGGGTTCAGTACTGTCTGCAGCTTTAGCCATCCCCAGGGGGTCTTAGGACATAACCACTATGGGTAAGGGGGCACCACTGTACTATTTTTCTTAAGTGTAAACTTTTTTTTAAAAAAATTATTTTTAATTTATTATTTTTTAATTTGATAAGAGAGAGAGCGAAAGTGAGAAACCAAGCTGCCAGATCCAGAACTCGAACTGCGATCAACCATGGGGAAGTCCTACATCCCAACCACCATGCTACCTGCTGGCTCCAAGTGTAAACACTCAAAGAAATTTTTTTTTTTTTTTGGAGAGGTTTTCGCTATAGGGCGCGTGCGCTCGCCAGACAGACA